GAGGTGGGGGGAGGGGGGGCAGTAGAAGGGAGGGGGGTGGAGTACGTTGAGGCGGTCCGCGGCGTTGTGGCTACCCAGGCGACGGCGCTCATTCGCATCGGAGTGCTGGCTGCAGGTGGGAAGGGAGAGGTGGGAGAAATGGGGGAAGAAAGGTAGAAAAAGCAGGGTACTTACTTAGAGGCGATTGTCTGCAGTGCAACATCCGGGGCACTGGTACGAGCGTCGAACGATCTTAAAGACGTCGAGCTCCCCCCATTCCTCACTTCGCGCCTTGCCTCAATCACACGTCCGCGTTCTTACCTTGAATTGGTTTTTGAGAACTCTCAGAAGGTGAATCGGTTCTCTGAGAATGAGGTGACTTTTGAGAACTCTCAGAAGGTGAATCGGTTCTCTGAGAATGAGGTGACTTTTGAGAACTCTCAGAAGGTGAATCGGTTTTTGAGGCGCCTCAAAAGTTGCGTGAGGAGTCTATTTTTTAGGCGCCTCAAAAATAGACGCCTCAAAAATCGGTTTTTGAGGCGCCTCAAAAGAACTCTCAGAAGGTGAATCGGTTCTCTGAGAATTCTCAAAAACCAATTCAACTGACTTCGCGCCTTGCCGCAATCACACATCCGCGTCCTTGCCTTGCCCGCACTTCTTAAACGCCTCAAAAATAGACACATCCGCACTGCCTTCTTACCTTGCCCGCGTCGCGGCATCCCGGGCACTGGTAGGATCGACGGTCGATCTTAGAGACGTCGATTCCGTACTCCATCTCGCAGTCTTCGTGCGACCAGCGCCGGCAGTTGCGGTTGGTGCAGCCGATCCACTGAGAGGGGGGGAGGGGGGCGGAAGGGAGGGGTCGAGAGAGGGCAAGGGAGGGGGGGAAGAGGGAGATGGATGGGATGGGGGACAGGAGAGTACTCATCACGCAGTCCTCGTGCGACCAGCGCCGGCAGTTGCGGTTGGTGCAGCCGATCCACTGAGAGAGAGGGAAGACAAGGGAGGGAGGAAGGAGGTAGTGGGTGGGGGATGAAAGACACTGAGATGGATGGGAGGGCCAACAGGAGAATATTCCGACTCGCAGTTCTCGTGCGACCAGCGACGGCAGTCGCGGTTGGTGCAGCGGATCCACTGGGAGAGGGCAAGAGAGACAGCGGAGAGGGGGAAGCGAGACAGGGGAGAGGGGGGGGGGAAGAGAGATGAATGAGATGGGGGGAGAGAGGTGGAGGAGGGGGGCGAGAACCGTCTTTGCGCTACAGCTGTCAGATGCTGCTGCCATGCCGAAAGACGGCTGGTGGAACAAGGGGGACCAATGCACGAGTACGATCAGGAGCGTCGATATACCGTGCATTCTGGGAGACTAATTAAGTACGAGGACGAAGAAGGAGACGGAGACGGAGACGGAGACAGAGACGGAGACGGAGACGGCGACTATCTACAGCAGAGAAACAAGTACGTACTTGTTTCTTGTCGAAGCTGTCTGGATCTCTCTCGCGGTAGATCTGAACGCAGAAGGGGCAGTACTTGCCCTGCCAGACACACACGCGAGCAAGGGACCAGGGAGAGCAAGGCAGAAGGCTTTTGAGTCGACTCGTAAGTCATCTTGTCGAAGCGCTCTCTCGCGGTAGATCTGAACGCACAAGGGGCAGTACTTGCCCTGCCAGACGCACACGCAAGAAAGAGACCAGGCAGCCAGCAAGAGAGAGAGTGAGCGGAAGGCTTAGAGACCAATCAAACGTACAACAGCAACAGAGTCCAGTCCACGTCCACGCTCGATAAGGCAAGAATTCTTGTGGAGGCGGCATTCCCAAGAGTTCAGCCTCTGGGAATGCCTACAGGGGTTCTTCCTGTCCACTGTGATGGCCTCGGGAATACCGTACTGTACTGGAGAAAATACCGGTACCGGTTTCCAACCTTGAAAGCATCATCAGAGTTTTGATGTGAAAGGCAGCCTGGCTTGAGGGTTCGACCTTGGGAGTACCAGTGCGGTACTGACATCCGGCACTGGAAATTCCGTAAGGCGGTTCGGTACTGATTCCAGGCCCCCAAATATTTCGCGAGGTAACCTGGCATCGGGATTGCCACAAGGCAGTTCGGCCTTGGGAGTTTCGCCTATTTTTTAGCCGCTTTAAAAATAAATTTGAGGCACCTCAAAAAACGCCTTGGGAATATTGCCGAGGGCAATGCAGATATCCGGCACTGGGGATATTCCCAAGGCGACTCTTGAGTTGACTCAGAAGTCACCACGATACTGATAGTCGGAACTGGGGAGATTCCCAAGGCCAAGGCAGTGTGCGGTACTGATGGGTGCTTGGTAGCTCGACGAACCTGATCGAAGTTGATCTTGCACGCGTTACATAGGGTAACATTGACGGGATCATCCTCGCTGCCGTAGTTCCGCACGTGCCAGCGACAAGTCCTGCGGAACAGGGAGGAATATTCGCGCGTAGGTGGAATTGGAGGAATTAGTCGGCAGTTTCTAGAAGCATTTACTCAGTCGAGATACACAAGGTCTGGCGTGTATTCGGAAAAAAATAGGGGAAACAACTGGAGGAAAATTCGGTCAGCAGTGCAGTACTAGCAATAACGGAAGAGAGGCAAGGCTTAAGCAGGGCTCAGATTCGTACGGTCCGTCGCCAGGTGACGTTCTGCGACAGAAGTTGTTGGAGCACATCACCACCGCCTTGTTCTTCCAGCTCTGCATCTTTCGCAGCTTCCCTGGCGACCCCGCTCCAATGTCTGAGCCTGCCGCCACCCCCGCCGCCGCCGCCGCCGCTGCCGCTGCCAGCGTGCTGCAGCCGCCGTTGCCGCTCGCGGCTCGCAGCAGAGCCGGCCGCAAATGCCCCTGCGCCGTGTTGACTGACGGAAAAAAAATAAATTTACGGGCGCCGTCAACAGAACTCGTTAAATGTTAAAAGGAATACGTCTGCTCGCGTTAAGCCTCTCCTGCCTGCAGAGGCTGCTGTGGACACGACACCGGAACGAGACGAATATCTCGTTCCTGTACAGAGCAGCCGCCTCCGGGAAGAATAAAGCACACCGTTGGACAAATAGGGGGACCCGCTTCTTCCGCAGCTCTCATTCCCCCCTTCCCCCTCTTATCCCGACGGGCAGCACCCAGCGGTGAAATCTTAGCGACTGACAGTCCACCTCTCTTGTTTACGACTAGATGAGCCAGATCACCGATTGGCGAGTGCCTGGCTTCCTCCCAGATTTATTAAATCTGCACAGAAGGGGAGTGTGAGTCGGGCAAGAAGGGCCGTGCAGATTAAAACTTCGTCGTTTTTACATTCCGAAATCGATGAAAATGGAGAAATTCGGCCGTTCTTAATAAAGGCTTAACGCGCCATTGCTCATAGAAACGTGCAGCACTAGCAGGCTCGAACAGTCGGCAACGTGAGCCCGTAATCTAGCGACTATTACGGAACTTCTTGGGCGCTGCGGAGACTAGTGCTTCGTATTTTGTAAAGGCAAAGCGCAGTTAGTCGAATGCACTCTAGTAGCTTATTATTATGGCCCAGCAAAGTGGATTAATGTATAACCGGCAAAGGCTCGTCCGAGTGAGATTCGGAGGGCTAAGACCGCGGATAAGCTCCTAAACGCGGGCTGCGAGGCTGATGAATAAAATCTAGCAGGCGGTCGAGGAATTTTTTTGAGGCGCCTAAGAGAACGCGGGCTGTGAGGCTGGTCGAGGTCGAGGAAACCCAGAAGGGTTTGGCAGAGGGTGGTGATCGGTTGGCCTAATCTGAGCAAAGCGTGGACCGGAAAATGCCTACCTGAATGCGGGCAAGCAGCGCGTAGGGGCGGGAAGGATCCCAACACCGTTCGGCAGGAGAGTGAATTCGACTAGACTAAACTGGCAGCTCGCCAGCGATAGGAGGGTGAAGTAGGGAGCCTGCCTAGTAAATACTGGAATCTTGAATCTGGTCTGGTGTGGGTTTTGCGCGAATCTGAGTTCTGGAGGTCAGGGAGGTGTGAGGCAGCTGCTACCCGCAGGGAACACGGGACACGGATTGAGGCCTTGAGTGAAACTGGAGGCAACGCAACCAAAATCGGTTCACGCAGCCGAGGGGGGTGGGATGATGGAGTGGGGGGGTTTGCACTAGCCATCAACTCTTCGGCTTGACCTGTCTCATGTCATTCACGCCGCACCGCATTCATACAGATTCCGCCTTTCCCTCACCTGGTTGGCTTCCTTCTGCTTGGCTCCACCAGGGATGACTGTATGCCAGCGTACACGCATCAAACAGGAGAGCCCATCACACGGAGGACGCTCATCAGCCATAATGTTCGAAGAGGGAGTGGATTCCAATCTAACATACAGTACAGTACAACGGATTCCGCGAATAGTGAGGGATTTCCCCCAACCGAATTCGCCAAAGCATCATCCAGACGTTCGAACTTCCGCATATTTCGCCTTTCGCGCAATTTCTGGTTCGGCACCCCAGAAAGTGCAGGCTTGGAAGACATTTTGTCGGACGGAATCCGAACCAGCCAGCAAACGCGGTTCGTCACGCCGTTTTAACGAAGCGCGGTTGGTTGTTGAGCGCCACGGACGAGGCGCAGGAGCCAACGGGCGAAAGCCACCTGTTCGCGAGAGTATTTTGGCCACGTGCGACAGCACGGCCGTGTGTGATGGAGTAACGAAATTCAAACACGAGGATACAGTAGCGGGAATTCGCTTATGCAGGCGACGTGCTCTCCTAGGAAAGACGACAAAAACGTGATTTCGGTAGGGTCCCACCGAAGTTGAAGTCCGTTTTTGGTCCGCACGACCGAGCCTGCGGACGCAAAACGGTAGGTCGACGACGGTGGCTTGTGACTGCAACGGTTTTCGTTTAGCTCGAGTGTAGATGCCAACGCAAGCAATTGTATGCCAACCAGCACAGTCCACGCGTGAAGAACGACGAAACTCGTTATCAAGCGCTTCACAAGAATGTATAGAACGCAGCTCAGCTTGCCAACAGTTTTGCTGCTTATCGTAAAACCCTGACGCCAAAAGAACTCCCACGATAAGGCTTGAAAATCATCACCCACTAACCTTCCAGGACCAACAGCGTGGGCCAACACTTCCCACCTAGCGCGGTTCCGCACGTCCCTAGCGCTTTAGTAACTCCTGTTCACAATCTGATTCGTCTGCTACCTTTTTCCAGATACCGACAATGTCCGACGACGCAGAGACTAATGACGTCCCTAAGGACGCGTCGCGCGACATGCAGCAGCAGAGTCGCGCCCTAGATTCCATCACCGACCATGTCGAGGAACGACAGCTCGATGCGCGCCGAGTCCAAGAGGTACGCCCAGCCTGCGGAGTGCTTTTTTTTAATCGTTCTCAAAAATCCCACACTGTCTAATTAAGTCGCGCTTAAATCCCACGACCTGCGACAGTCAGATGCTCACTGAGTTCAAGGAAAAATATGGCGGCACATGGGGTTATTGAGAGGCACATGAGGTTTAGTACGGTATGAATCTGGGCTAATAGAGAACGTCGGTAAGGCTTCCTGCATTAACAGACAGGCGAGCCATGCGCTAGGGTTTCAGATGACGATTTGAATGGTTCGGAGCTTCGCTACTAGGCCCATATTCTCCCGTATTCACACGTATTACGCCTGGCAGGAGTTGTTATAGCCGCCGCCACAGCTTCCAGGTTTTTGGATGAGCATGCGATTAGCGAAGGTTGCATTGATTAGCGAAGGGAGCCTCGAATTGCGAAATCTGAGCATGCTGTTTCACGTTGCCTGGCTCTCAGCACGTCCTGCACTGCTGACATCAGCCTTTCCCTCCTGCTTCGTTGATCTGATAGCGTTCTCCTTGTTTTGAGGCGCCTCAAAACTAGGCTCTCAGCACGCCCTGGACTGCTGACATCAGCCTTGCCCTCCTGCTTCGTTGATCTGATGCGTTCTCCTTGTTTTGAGGCGCCTCAAAACTAGGCTCTCAGCACGCCCTGTACTGCTGACATCAGCCTTGCCCTCCTGCTTCGTTGATCTGATAGCGTTCTCCTTGTTTTGAGGCGCCTCAAAACTAGGCTCTCAGCACGCCCTGGACTGCTGACATCAGCCTTGCCCTCCTGCTTCGTTGATCTGATGCGTTCTCCTTGTTTTGAGGCGCCTCAAAACTAGGCTCTCAGCACGCCCTGTACTGCTGACATCAGCCTTGCCCTCCTGCTTCGTTGATCTGATGCGTTCTCCTTGTTTTGAGGCGCCTCAAAACTAGGCTCTCAGCACGCCCTGTACTGCTGACATCAGCCTTGCCCTCCTGCTTCGTTGATCTGATGCGTTCTCCTTGTTTTGAGGCGCCTCAAAACTAGGCTCTCAGCACGCCCTGGACTGCTGACATCAGCCTTGCCCTCCTGCTTCGTTGATCTGATGCGTTCTCCTTGTTTTGAGGCGCCTCAAAACTAGGCTCTCAGCACGCCCTGTACTGCTGACATCAGCCTTGCCCTCCTGCTTCGTTGATCTGATGCGTTCTCCTTGTTTTGAGGCGCCTCAAAACTAGGCTCTCAGCACGCCCTGGACTGCTGACATCAGCCTTGCCCTCCTGCTTCGTTGATCTGATGCGTTCTCCTTGTTTTGAGGCGCCTCAAAACTAGGCTCTCAGCACACCCTGTACTGCTGACATCAGCCTTGCCCTCCCGCTTCGTTCTTTCGATGCCTTTTCCTGTGTCGGTGCAGGCCATGGCGTCGATCGCGGCGTCATCTGCGGCAGACAGGGAGGCTCAACGCGCCAGGTACGGCCATGGAATACCTTGGAACATACGAGGTTTATGATTTTTGAGTCGACTAAAAAATCACCTACGGCCATGGAATACCTTGGAACATACGAGGTTTATTATGGTTTTGAGTCGACTCAAAAATCACCTACGGCCATGGAATACCTTGGAACATACGAGGTTTATGATTTTTACCTCCATTGCATGGCATCCGTTTGTACTTGGACCAATAGCATGGCAGGGTGTATACATTAACCCTGCATATGACCATGCCATTGAGGCCATGGTATGCTTTGCATTGCATGGCTCGTTTGTTGCATTGCAGGGAGAAGGAGCTGGCTGCTGTGAAGATAGATTCAGTACCCATCAACGTGATTGCTTCAGAGTTCAAGTTGCGTTAAAGCCCATGCCCATGTTTCGCTCTGCATTGCATGGCTGCTTTTCTGCGTTGCAGGGAGAAGGAGCTTGCTGCTGTGAAGATAGACTCAGTTCACATAGACGTGATTGCTTCAGAAATGGAGGTAGGTGAAGTGAAATGGAGGTCAGTACTTTTGACTTGTCCTTGGCCGTCTCTATTTTTTTTTAACATCCTTCCTTCTCTTGTTCCTTTATCCTAGTCGTGTACTCTATTTTCATCATTGGTTTGCATGTCCTTCTGTTCTTTGCCTGTTATGTGAGTCCAGGTTGACCGGAAGGTAGCAGAGAGACGACTAAGGGAGCATCAAGGAGACGCAGTGGCTGCATTGAGATCTTTCCTGCATTAAGGACTCTATAAACCAATTATATTTTGCATTTGTTTCTATAGATGTACTGGTAGCTAGTCCACTTCATGGGGAACCTTTCTTCTAGTCGAGTACCGTACTTGTAAGGTAGAGATAATGTAATCTCGCCAAGGTTCAACGTGTTATTCAGAACGCTCTTCGCGTCAATGTCGAGGATCCGCCGGTGTTACCCGTAGACATTTCACCAGCTCCCACTTTTTAGGAGCCACTCATCTCAGCTACACCGTCCCCAGAAATCACCGACTTCAGCGGCTGCAGAGCAGAAATGCCAAGCCTAGGAGTTAGGGATGCGCGCTGTTCAGCCAGCATATAGCGCTCCCGCATCTTGCTCTCTCTAGAGAAGCGCCTCTTTTGAACGAGAACCTTCTACTCTTGCCGTGTGCGCTCGCCTCTTTCGCCCTATCAGATCTCATCGTCGTGCGCGTTCGTCAGTGCGACTAGGAATCAGTAATCACCGTTTGACGCCGGGGTGCCGATGGGAAACGTAAATGTTAAGGTCGGTATTTTTTTGTCCGTTTGAACGCGCGTTCCGCGAATCATGATCGTCCCCTCCGTCTTCCCGCCTTTGGATTGTGCTCTCCCCACTACCCCCCCCCCCCCCCCCCCCCCCCCCCCTCCTCTTCCTTCCTTCTAGATTTGAGGCGCCTCAAAACTAGTCTTCCGTCCTTTGGATGGTTCTCCCCACTATCCCCCCCCCCTTCCTCTTCCTTCCTTCTTCTCACGTCTCTCTCCCCCCCCCCCCCCCCCCAACACTCCCCCCCACCCCACCCCTCTTCCCCCACCCGCCCTATCCACTTTTCCAGGACGGATTAGATTCTGTGGGTCTATCTAATCTCTCCCTCGGGAATGCCGCGCTGGGCGGGGGGCGAGCCGCAGCGAGCGCTCAGCGCGCAGCGAACTGGAAAGCCACGGGGATTATCGCTTTAAGAGACGCGCACCTGAAGGTGAGAGGAGAGTGTTGGTTGGTACTTCCAACGGGCCTTCAGTGATTGCTGATGCGTGTTCATAATAGCGCGCATTGAGGAGGGAAGGCAGCAGCGAGCGGCCAGCGCGCAGACAACTGGAAGGGCACGGGGATTATCGCTTTAAGAGACGCGCATTTGAAGGTGAGGGAGAGTGTGAAATGATTCGTGATACAACTGCGTCTTAAAAAATATACCCACTCCACCTCTGCGCTTGCCCACTTTCCCTCTTTTCAACCTCATTCTTTTATTTTTTTCTTCTCCTTCTTTCTCTCCTTGTCCCCTAAACCGGTCTATTCCCGACGCGGGAGCCTCATCTTTAAGTTGTAACTCTTCCTTCCACGGTCCACCGTGCACTTACCCACTTTCCCTCTTCTCACCCTTCTTTCTCCCCTTGTCCACTCAACCGGTCTATTCCCCGAGGCAGTGTTTGACGCAGGAGCCTCATCTCTAACTCTTCCTTCCACCCCTGTGCTTGCCCACTTTCCCTCTTCTCACCCTTCTTTCGCCCCTTGTCCCCTCAACCGGTATTCCCGAGGCAGTGTTTGAATTGAAGCAGGAGCCACAGCTCCCAGCTCCTCCCTCCGCCCCCACGCTTCCTCACTTCCCCTCATTTTCCGCTGTTTCCCCCCCCTTTTTTCTCCTGCCTCTTTCGCCCCTTGTCCCCTCAACCAGTCCATTCCCGAGGCCGTGTTTGACGCAGGAGCTGCAGCTCGAACCGTAGATGGTTCAAACAATAAAATTGGTAACGTGCCATGGGGTATGGGGTATCCATCATGGGGTATGGGGTATCCATCATGGGGTATGGGGTATCCATCATGGGGTATGGGGTATCCATCATGGGGTATGGGGTATCCATCATGGGGTATGGGGTATCCATCATGGGGTATGGGGTATCCATCATGGGGTATGGGGTATCCATCCTGGGGTAACGCACCATCAGCGGTGGTCTTTGTGGCAATCTGATCATGGAGTAACACTTTGTGGTGCCAAAACACGGGGTAACATTCTGTGGGGGTAACTGCTGTTATTATCAAATCATCTAAGCCCATGTTTTTACCTCAGCAGTATCGTTCTACTATCAAATCAACCACGTTCCTTGGTATTGTTAAACCTGTGAGCCATGGTATTTTTGAGGCGCCTAAAAAATCTACTCCTCATGCATTGGTGTTTTTAACCTGTGAGCCACGGGCCATGCTCACATGCTTCCGTCACTTGCTGTTTCTGTCCTTCCTCCTACCCCTCCCGGCTCCAATCTCAACCGTTCAGTGGAGATTCCAGAGGCGATCGGACGACTCACGTCGCTGCAGCGGCTGGTTCTTCCCGGCAACCGAATCGAGCGCCTGCCTGCTTCCATCGGGTCCCTCGCCTCCCTCAAGGCTCTGCAGCTGGAGAACAACCGACTGACAGAGCTGCCCAATGAAAGTGAGTGCGGCTAGCATGGGCGGATGAGCCGGAAGGGGATGGTGGGAGCTGACATCGCTGCCGCGGAGCTGCTGGTTCTCCCTGGAATGCAGCAATGACAATAGAATGCAGCAATGACAATAGAATGCAGCAATGCCAATAGAATGCAGCAATGACAATAGAATGCAGCAATGACCATAGAATGCAGCAATGACAATAGAATGCAGCAATGACAATAGAACGCAGCAATGACAATAGAATGCAGCAATGACAATAGAATGCAGCAATGCCAATAGAATCGAGCGCCTGCCTGCTTCCATCGGGTCCCTCCCTCGCCTCCCTCAAGGCTCTGCAGCTAGAAAACAACCGACTGACAACGGTGCCCAATGAAAGTGAGATGCGGGGATAAAGGGTTGGAGGGTGTAGGAGGGGGTATGAAGGGGTTTTGGTAAGGGTTAGAGGGGTGCCTGCCTGCTTCCGTTGGGTCTCTCCCTCCTCCCTGAAAGCCCTTCAGCTTGAGCACAGCAAATTGACCGAGCTGCCCAATGAAAGTGAGATGCGTGGATGAAGGGGTGGAGGTGTAGGGGGCGGTTGTGTCAAGAGGGGTGCGTGCCTGCTTGAACTGGATCCCTCTCCTCTCTCAATATTCCTCAGCTGGAGAGTGTTTCTGAGATTTCTTAATAAAAAACACCCCGCAAAATCACGAGGGGTGCGTGCCTGCTTCCACTGGATCCCTCTCCTCGCTTAATACTCTCCTGACCACCCAATCACCCCCTCTCCCCTCCCCTACCCCCCGCCAACCCCCACCCTCCCCTCTGCCAGTTGGGTCCCTCTCTGGGTTGGAGCAGCCATCCCTCTGTATCCCAGACCCTCTATCCAGCTGGTTGCTGGTTGCTGGTTGCTGGTTGCTGGTTGCTGGTTGCTGGTTGCTGGTTGCTGGTTGCTGGTTGCCTTTTCCCTCTCTATCCCAGATTCTCTATCCCTGGCCGTTTGGAGGAATCTGAGAGCTGCAGTGCAGCAACCGGCTGCAGCACCTCTCAGATTCCGTCGGCAAGCCAGCCTGTGACCACCCAACCACCCCTGCCCCCCGCCAACCCCCACCCTCCCTCCACTCTGCCAGTTGGGTCTCTGTCTCGCTTGGAGCGGTTAACTCTGGCCAGCAACCAGCTGCAGCACCTCCCAGATTCCATCGGCAAACTAACCGCTGTATGTTGACTTCCTCTTACTTTTCCTCCCTTCTCAGCCTAACTCCCTTCCTGCCCCCTTGTCTCCTTTCCCCTCCTCTCCCCTCCTCTCCCCTCCTCTCCCCTCCTCTCCCCTCCTCTTCCCTCCTCTCCCCTCCTCTCCCCTCCTCTCCCCTCCTCTCCCCTCCTCTTCCCTCCTCTCCCCTCCTCTCCCCTCCTCTCCCCTCCTCTCCCCTCCTCTCCCCTCCTCTCCCCTCCTCTCCCCTCCTCTTCCCTCCTCTCCCCTCCTCTCCCCTCCTCTCCCCTCCTCTCCCCTCCTCTCCCCTCCTCTCCCCTCCTCTCCCCTCCTCTTCCCTCCTCTCCCCTCCTCTCCCCTCCTCTTCCCTCCTCTCCCCTCCTCTCCCCTCCTCTTCCCTCCTCTCCCCTCCTCTCCCCTCCTCTCCCCTCCTCTCCCCTCCTCTTCCCTCCTCTCCCCTCCTCTTCCCTCCTCTTCCCTCTGTTTACCGTCCTCCAATGTGCCAATCATCAGGTGTTAGTCACCAGCTAATCCCAAATGTCTCGTCATATGCCCGTCTCCAACTGCTAGCCCTTCCCTTCCCTTCCTATGCGTTGCAGCCTCATTCTATGAGTCCCACCCATTCTATGCATAGGAAGAGTCCCACCCCTCAGTGCCCATCTCCCATCCCATCACCCCCCTAACAAGATAAACATTTTTTACGTCTCTTCCAACTGTCTCTCCAGCCTCCACCCACAATCGCATCCCATCCCATCCCATCCCATCCCATCCCGTCCCATCCCATCCCATCCCATCCCATCCCATCCCATCTCATCCCATCTCATCCCATCAAGTTTCCCTCCCGTCTCCCCCTGCTCCAGTTGGTCATTCTTGACATCTCTTCCAACTGTCTTTCCAGCCTCCCATCCACCCTCGGTAGCTGCTCCGCTCTTCAAGAGCTCTCTTTACAAGGTGTGTTATTCCATCAACGGGGTTTCGTTACAAGGTACATCGTTCCAAGGTACAAGGCCGGCTTCCTTCTACAGGGTACATTGTACCAAGGTCAAAGGGAGAAGGCAGTTATGAGCTGTTTCAGTGCGAACTTAAGTTTCATTGTACTGGAGTTTCTCTGTGCACGTTTGTCCACGCAATCTGAAACCCAATTTGAAACGCAATCTGAAACGACTTTAGAGCTGTCCTAAAAAATCACCTAGGGAATCGTCTCCATCTACACATTAGAATTGTCCTCAATCTGAAGAGCTTTAGAATCGTCTCCATCTACATGTCTGGCCACGCAATCTGAAGCATCCCCTTCCAGCTCCCAATGTTGCCCTTTCCACTTTCCGCCCTCTCTCCAGCTAATCGGCTAGCGGGCCTTCCCCCCTCGATAGTGGACCTTTCTGACCTTCGCACTCTAGCCCTCGACAACAATCGGCTCACTGATGTATGTGCACACTTGCACATGCTCACACAATCGCATCG